GATTGGCAGCAGATTCAGAACAGATAAAAAAATCAGATTTACAGAATCATTGAAAAATGGTGTCCTGATAGCTATTAATTTTTTTAAAAATTCAGATATGATATATCATTGACTTTTGGTCTTAGAACCTCCAAGGACAGAAGCAGTTTTTCTTCTGTTTGCCATTATTAGCCCAGGCAGTCACCAGGCATCAACACTGACTCAAAGGTGCTCTCTCTCCTTCTCTCTGTATATATAGATACATGCACATACACACAATGAAGGACAATTGCATCTGTCTGACCATTTACATAATATCACATGAGGTAGGTTTTTGTCTAGATCCAGCAAAGTACATTTTATAAAATTGTAGTACTAGACAGCCAAGCTTTCACACATTACTGAAGTTAAGCATGAGATACTTGCTCATTGTGGATGTTTAAACCTCTGTCTCCAAGCACATGAAAGCAAGATATAAAACATTTTCTCAAATCAGACCAACACAGAAAAAAAAATTGCAGCTGATGTACCGGAGAGACATAAATGTGCAAACACATTTCTGTGACCAGTACCACCTACAAATTCAGTGAAAGCATAGAATTAAGGAGCATACACTTGATCTATCTGTAAGAACAGATTAAATCTTCATTCTGAAATCAATTATTCTGTTGAGCAATAACTGGTTTTGAGATTTCTCCATGTCAGTTTCCAAAGACTCAGCTGATAAATTTGGGGGAGGGTAAGTGTTCAATTTAAGATTTTAACCAAAGCTAGGCAACCTTTTTTAGGATTTAACCCTTTTTTTTTTAGCTTGTCATTGTACCTATCTGAGAGTGGCAAAACTGTGGCTAGTGATAGCATAACACAGGGGCTTCCAACCTGGGATGACTGCACCCCCAGGGGTGCGAGATGGAATTTCAGGGGGTGCAACAATTTTACTCACTGAGTTAAAAGCTTAGTGAAAATTGTGAATTTTCTAAGTTCAATTTGCTCACCTGCATTAGAAATTAGACTTCTTCAACTTCAAATGTGATATTACTTTTGTAGGGGGTGCAAATATTAATCAAACATTTCCTAGGGGTGTCAGGCATAGAAAGGTTTAGAACCACTGGCATAACATCATTCAAGTAGATGGCCAAAAATCAGCCCTTTTTTACATTTTGCACCTTAGTCTATCCAAACAAGAAAAATTGGCCCAACTTTTGGAGACATGTTCAAAGACAGCAAATTGTACCTTAAGCCTACTCAAGGTGTTTCATCTCTTAAAATCACTCCACAAGATAAATAAAATGCATTAATTTTATTATCATATAAAACTTTAGAACTGCCTTCCCAGTGTGTATGTATCCTTCCTCCATTTCCAAAATGATTTCTAAAAACAAAAGCTGAATTCACATATTCTATGCTAAATATAATAGGCTAGTTTGTGGCTCAGCAAGAGCCACAGCAACTAGTAAGAGTGGTCAATTTATAGTTCAGTATATTGAATGAACATAGGAACAGGGATGATTCATTAAACCATGCTTCAGTTTACCATGCATTAAAATGTTGTGCAAATGTTGAGCATAAATATTAAAAAAGCAAAATGAATTTCTACCTGAGATTATTGCAAATTCTGTGGTGGGAAGAAGTATTTCTTATAAGCAAGATGCATTTGTGCCATTTTCAGAAGACAGAAAAGGTTTCAGTGTTTTCTTTGATTACCAGACTCTTTTACAGCTGGCAGGCTTGTTCTTGACCAGTCTTGTTAACTCTCAATGGACTAGGAATATAGTAGCTTGGGCCAAAATCAATTTATTCCCATACAGATTAGAAACAAGAAACTGGTTGCACTTCTTGTTTAGGGGGATACAGCAAGTGGAAAGTTTTAGAACTGGAAGAACTTTTCTTAGTGCTTTGTGAGTCTCCTGCCCTTGAAACCCCCAACAATAACATTAAAATCATGTTAGAATGAATTCTATATTCAAGTGTGTAATTGTTTTGTGAAAAGTGGTCCTGTATGAGCCAGCCACCAACAATGATATTGTAAGCAAGCCAAATACACAAGATATTCCTACAGTAACAAAATGCAAACTGTTACTTTCTAAAATATTGGGATTTTATAAGAGAGAGAGAGAGAGAGAGAGAGAGAGAGAGAGAGAGAGAGAAATGTTGAAAGTCTAGCAGCATGGCCATCGTTTGTATATGTTTAAGCCTCAGTTTACACATCAGGCTAAACTATAATATGTTTTGATTATGGCTTGTGTGTGTATTCCCATCTCCAAAATTTCTGGGAAAAAATGCATCTTGTGTCTTATATTCCAAAATGGATAATGAGTGGAATATTTTCCTGCCCAACAAGGAAAAGAAATTTCACTTTTCATTACATTGTAACCATGTACTAGAGACACATGAGACTATTGTTTGCATTATCATAATTTGTTGAATAAGCCACAATTTGCTGAGTTCACACATCACACTAAGCCAAAATCAAAGGATATTATAGTTCAGCCCAATGCATAAACTGAGGCTTAAACATATGCAAATGATGGCCATGCTACTAGACAACAGCAATATAACCTATTCATAATTGTTTTGAAATTTAGGCATGACATTCCCTTGGATAAACTTTGGGCCAATCAACTCATCAATTCTAATCTGCCTCATAGTATTCTAAAATGTGCAAGAGGGCGAGATACCAAATACACTTCCTTGAACTGCTTGGAAAAAGGGGGAATATAAAAATAAAGAGATAAACATATAAACTAAATGTTCCTAATAGATATATTGAAGTATATTTACCATTTTAAAATTATCCTGCTCAAACAGGTATGATCCAGTTCTCACCATTATCATGTGTAGGTGATGTCATTCTATCAATTATTTAGCATCTTAGAGATGGCCACTTCCAAGCTGTGGAATCCACTCCCTCAGGAGTTGCATTAGCCACTATTTCTCTCTGCTTTTAGAAGAGTCTTTTTTGTCAGGCTTTTATCCTGGTAATGAATTTCAACATTAATTTTAATTTATGATTTAAACTCATTGCATATTAATTTTAGTTACTGTCACTTGTATATCATACTCGAATAGAAAGGAGCGGCACTGATGGAATAAATAAATATGAATTCAGCTCCTTATTTGTGTTTGTCAAACCTTAATGGTGCCAACCTAAATACACCTACAGAAGATTTTCTTCAAGTGAAATCTATTGGATCTAAGCTCGAAAGGTACAAATTAGAATTGCTACCTATCATTTCATGGCTTATTGTGAGGATGTGTGCATGCTTTTTGGGCTGCCCCTTCCATCTGGCAGGGCTTAGCAACCACCTTTGCTGGCAGATGCTCAAGGAGGGCACAACATCTCCCCCTATTGTGCCCTGGTCAGAGCATTTGGAGGACTGTGCCCAAGTCTGAGCACCACAGTTCAAAAAGCACACAGACAAAATGGAGTGAATTCAGAGAAGGGCTGCCAAGATAATGAGGGGTCTAGAGACTAGGCCCTATGAGAAACAGCTAAAGGACTTGTATGTTTAGCTTACAGAAAATATGATTTGTGGAAAGATATCACAGCAGTCTTAGGAGGGACAGGAATGGACTTACTCTTTCAAACTAGAGGGAAGGACCAGAACCAGTGGGTTAAAATGACAAGGAAGGAGGTTCAACCTAACCCTAAAGTTATTTGTTGTTTATGTATTGACTTCTCCACCGAAGTCAATATTCCAGCAACGAAGCAAAGTTTTGTAATTGCTACTTGAAGGCTCCAAGTTGGATTCTTATGCTGGTCAAGGCCATGGAACTTCTATCCACCTATCTACTTCATTTTTTAAAATCTTATCCTATCTTTATAGAGAGCAGCTAGAATATTATCACTAACCTCCTGTAAATTGCCCATGCTGAGCTTTTTAATTAATACAGTTAAAAGCCAGGAGAAGGGCTGCCACATGAGGCCACAGGGTTTCCTTTGCTGGAGGTCTTCAGAGGCTGTCAGAGATGCTCCAGTGGATCCTGCCCTGAGTAGGGGGCTTGGACTAGATGACCTCCAAGGTTCATTCCAACTCTATGATGCTGCTGTAGAACTGAGCTGTGCCTGTACTGTCCAGACAACCTGCCCTGCCCATGCAGAAGAAGCCCCTGTTCCCTCACCAAGGTGGAAATTAGATTCAATTGTCTGTTCAGTTTGCTCCTGGATACAGAACTAGGCAGGCAGCAGCTTCTCCTTGCTTCAGACAGCCAAAGTTCCCAGGGCTTGACTTTCTTGCTTGAGCAACCTAAAACGAATCAACTCTTTTGAGGGGTTCACCATTGTGTGCCTGGTGGAGAACTACGCAGGGGAGTTTGCAATCAGGCAGGCCCCTGCCAAGAGGCCACCCCTTTGGCAGCCACCAAGATCTTGCATCAGCTGCTGGTCCAGCCTGAAGTGAAATAGTAGCCCCTTGACACTAAACTTGCCAAAGCAAGCAAGTCCCCCGGATCCAGAATAGGAATAATAAAAATACCCGGCTAGGTAACATCTTCAGTGCTAAAACCTCATCCTATTTTAGCACTGAAGATATTACCTAGCCGGGTAATGAAACGTTTGCAAGAAAAGAATCAAGCTCAGAGAACCCCAAGGACTCCACAGTTCAAATATTACCTAGCCGGGTAATGAAACGTTTGCAAGAAAAGAATCAAGCTCAGAGAACCCCAAGGACTCCACAGTTCAAATATTACCTAGCCGGGTAATGAAACGTTTGCAAGAAAAGAATCAAGCTCAGAGAACCCCAAGGACTCCACAGTTCAACCCTGAGCTACACATATTCTCCTCCATTGATAATAAAAATAACCTCACACTAACCACGCCTAGGATAATGAAGTTACAAGGTGAGGCGTTGAGAGAAGCCTAACGGGGGAGCGCTGAAGAATTTGTTCTGGAGTTTCATAACTGGGAGGCAGGGTAATGAATGTCTCCCCTTTCTTCCCCATGCTCCCCGGAGGGCCGTGAGAAGCCAAGTCCCTGGTTCTCCCGGCGAGGACTTCCATCCTTCCCCCACGTCGGTACCAACCTGGCAGTGGTTCAGTTCCTCAGTCAGGCTCCTAACTTCTTCCTCCAGCACAAAGATCCGGGATGCTGCTGCAGAAACCGGATCCTTGCGTTTGGAAGAAGCCATGCTAAGTTGGACCGCGCTGGATGCTCTAAAGATCACTTTTCACGCAAATGTTTACTGACTTTCTGTGGGAACCATGAAGGGAACGACTGGGGCGAGAGTAACTAACAACACAAAAACAGCTTCACAGGCCGCCCGACTTAGGCGCCATGAAAAGATTACAAACGCTCCTGTGAACCAATGAAACAAAAGCTTTCCGAGTCACCGCCTTCTTCTCCTAATACCCACCCCAAGTCTCCTTCTAAAAAAAATTCAAGTAAGTACATGCGGGTGGCGCTATGAACCACAAAAAAAAGGACGCAATGTCAGGTTGTCGGTTTAACGGGTGAGCGGCAAAAGGCGGAAGTCGAAACGAAGATTGTATTCATTAGTTCCCATAGAGGGCATGCGCAAAGTTTTCCCGCTCGAAGCGTCTGTTCTACCGCTTTTGCTCTCAGGCGCGGTTGCGTGAGCTCGTTTCTGGGACTTGGGCCACTTTGAGGTTCATCTGTTAGCGAACCCGACCCCTCTCATTTTGTGGTGTGGTTTCAACCCAGTGTCCGTTAATTCAGCAAACCTTCGTTGCCTAAGCAAACCATGAGTTGGCAGGTTGCGTCCACACTTTAGCGAGTTGTATTGGATAAACTCCTCAGGACAGAATCCTGCATGGTATTTGTTTTACAATAGCTTATTAGGTCTCCCAGGGCTCGGGCCCTACCGATGAGTGTCCCATTCAGAAGTCAGGTTAGTCTCTTGCACTTCTACGTCTTGTAAGAAATAACTGAGGGATTTTCAGTGGTGTAGCTGAAATTACACTCGTGGTACTGTAGGGCAGGTATTGCCACAGTACCTGCAAATCGTGTAATTTTTATTGAAAAGGGGAGAGTCCATCTACTATCCCTACAATTTATTTATTGTTTATTTTGTGCCTTTGAATTCAATGTCAACTCATGGTGACTGCAGTTTTCTTGGCAAGATTTTGAAAGTGGTTTGCTGTTGCCTCCTTCCTAGGTCTGAGAGAGAATGACCGTCTCAAGCTCACCCAGCTGGCTTTGTGCCTAAGGTGGGACTAGAACTCATGGTCTCCCAATTTTTAGTCCAGTGCCTTAACCACTGTACAAAACTGGCTCTCATCTCTACAATATTGGACTTTAAAATTAGTGCGCTAGTTTTACCCAAAGGCAAAGTTTATGCCCAGTAATTCCTGAATGAAGTTATTTGTATATTGGATTATCTGATGAACCCAGATGTGTTTATTCAAAAATAAGTCTAGTTGAAGTCACTTAAATTTGGTAAGTGAACATGGCAATGTCCTAAATACAAAAGTGATTCCTAGAAATAGTGCAGTGTTGAAAGAACTTGCTTGAAGCTTATCCTTTTCTAATTAAAATTTTGAAGGAGTGATTTCCACGTATACCCCCCCCCAAGTTGCTTAAATAAGCATAACACCTAAAGCACCTATTTCTTCCCTAAGCAATATTTGCTTTTAAAATTCAGAATGGAGCATGTTTGATACCTTGTAGTATGATGCAGGATTTGGCAGAGCACTGGGTTTAACTATCTGTCACAACCTTTGCTTTTAATTTTAGGGATCCTGGTGTCCCAATTTCTCTAGTATCAAATTCACACAGAATGTAAAGCATAATAGATTTTGTTTTACTGTGTGAATTGTGGATTGTAGACTTAAAAGTGATGCACACCAGCCAGTGATTTAGACAGTCATCTAGCTGGTAGATGGTTACAACAATAATAGAGTTTTCACATATTCTCCTACACATTCAGTCTGCTGTACAGCACTAGCTTCATTTAAGCTTGCAGATAAATGCTTTACATTGATTTCAAACTGAACACTTTCTTATGACAAGAATTTAAAGTACTATAAGATTTAAGTCAGAAGGTGAATGAATAATTGGGCCATATTTTATGGACCACCCACTGAACCCTGAAACAAAAGAGAAACAAGTCTTGCTTACAGGAGAAGCCATCCAGATTCCAGACGTGCACCATCCAATACTCCTTTGTAAAGTTTATGGACCTTCATGAAATTTAATTGCATACCCTTGGTATATGCCAGAATTCAGAAAACAGTGTTAACTTTAGAGAAGAGTATTATCATGCTTGATAGTAAGACTGCTTTCAAAATGGCTGGAACCTGAGATTCATTTTAATAAAGCTCACAGCTTCAAGTTACAGCCTCAATCTTTAACAAGGATTTGCAATCTAGTCTGAAAAATGTGATAGTTCTAAAAAGGCTGCAAGCCTATCTAACATTCATTGATGATTATCTTAAATTTCAGATTTTAGAGTAGGGAGAGATGTATGTAATTGTCATGAAATGGTCAATAAATCAAGTAGCTGGGCTAGGAAGAGAGAAGGTAAGGTAACAGTCATTGCTAGAGCAAAGTCTGATGGTACTTCTCCATCCTACATACATGTCATACTACCAATCCTGGAGGGAGATAGTCAGCTGGAGATAATTAAATTAAAGAAACAAAATTCAGAACTCAACTATGCTGGCTAAAGCATTTGTTCAAATGATCAGAGGAAGAAACCAGGACAGATTGGGATGTCTTGTTTGTTTGCTTTTTTAAAATAGTCAAACTAGAAAAAGGGTGAGGTTTGACCTTGCACAGTGTGTGTAGGCTGTCACAAAAATTTTTAAAAAATTGAGAACATTACCTGATATAAAGGGGATTGGTTGGAAAATGGAACAAGTTAGATTTCATTCTCTCAGGGAGTGAAAAGTACATGGCCACCCAAAAGAAAAGAACAATGCTCTTAACCTTAGGTGTGGACTTGGAAGGGACAGCTAAGTCCATGGCCACCCAAGCTTCAAGCATTGTCCAGAGGACATCAGCAGTGAGATCATACCTGCCTTTGGGGATAGCAGCTGAGAATGTACACCCACACATCACACCCTTGCCATTCACTTCAGGGAGCTTAATGCAATTCATAAAACATATACTTGATACTGCCCTAATTTTGGGGACCAGAAGAACATTTTGCAGTACAAACTGTTTCTCTGTAAGCACTGAAGCTGATGAGATGAGAGCCCAATTCTTGTGCCAGAGAAAGCCATTTTATCAGAAAAGGACAGAGAGCTTCAAGGCTAAGAAAAAACCTGTCTAAAGTCCATTAGCTCACAAAGATGGGAAGAAAAGGCCCAGGAACTGAATTGTAGTAGGAAGTAGGTTTCCTGTGTGTAACTAGACAACACCTTTATGGCTTTCTGATTTTCTTTAGTAAAGTTACTTATCTAATCTTGTATTTGCTTGAGAATGTGGAGCTGAGAGAAAAAGAACATTTTCTGGACATCCGTGGTATGAAGCCTTAACAGCCTCTCCCTAAAGACTGGACTCCATGGCACATTTATTTTGTATTTCCCACCCACATGTTCTCCAAAATAAAAGTAAAGATAAAATTCAAAGTCCTAGTTAAGACTTTGACATTTAATAACTGAAAATGCATTTTTAAAAACCCTCACATTTGTAAGAAATAACACAAAGTATTAAAATCTAATTCTGCAACAAATCAGTTTAAATCTAGGCTGAACTAAAAACATCTTCACCTGCCAGCAGAATTTTCACAGAGAGAGCTTTAGTAGCCCCAGAAAGTTGCAGAGCCTAGAAGCAACCACCAAAAGTTCTGTTTTCAGACTCCTGATAAACATGCTTTGAACAGTGAGGGGGCACAGAAAGAACCCTAAAGTTTCTGCTTCTTCATATGGTTGAGTACAGTCTTTCAAATAACCTGGCCCCAAAGTATAGGTCTTTATAGATTATAAACAGTGCCCAGCATTAGATTGGAACTCAACAAACTTATTCCATCAAGGAAATAGCACATTTTGGTAATTGGCCCTAGTCAAGAATCTGCAGCATTCTAGACCAGCTGAAGTTTCTGAGAGGGCTGTGGCTCAGTTAAATATGTCATCCATCTGTGCCTGAGCTGGCAGAAAACTACCAGCATAAAATTTGCAGTCCCCAGTGACAATCCGTATCTTACCTCTATAACTTATGTTTTGGCTTGCCGCTGAATTGTAGTACCTTGATTTCAGGTGTGCAAGGCATGTCAGACAAAGCCATTTGTTAAATCCTTTGACTTTACTGCTTTTCCCCTTTCTGAATGTCGCTAGCCAGTGGGAAACCATTGCTGTGACTGGTAGATGGTTTTGACAGTTTAGCCATCTGTCAAAGCCCCACTACTCCCTAGACCCCACCAGAGAGCTAATCAACATGGAGGTCTGCCCAATAAAGCAGGAGGGTTGTCTCCTGTTCATTAAACAGCATTTATCCCTGCCAATCAGATGTTCAATAGCTGGGAGAGCTGCCAATATTGCAACAACTGTGTCCTCCTCCTTCCTCACCCCAGGAAAAGACTGGGGTCAGAATAGAGTGCTTTGGATCAAAATGGAAGGGGCAAATGCAGCACAAACCTAAAGTGATCAATAGATGGTAAGAAAGGCCTGCCAAAGCCCAGTTTAAATGGGTTACAGTGTTCCAAACAGACTGGCAGCGGGAACAATCCAAAAATACAATATTCCAGGAATAATTCCAAGAATTCTCCTTCCAGCTGCAAATAAGAAAATTCTAGGGAGTGTAACTAATATAACACAGGTTTAATTCCAGTGCCTTGATCTACCTAGTTGATGACCAGGAACACCTGGAATGAATTACTCTTCAATTTCTTTTCCCTCATCCAATCCATTTATAATATCAGAGAGTAATTTAGAACTTTAACAGCTTCTTTAGATTTAGATGGAGACAGAATTGTATGTGATCAGCATATAGATGACATGGAACCCCAGAACTTCAGAAAACGTTTTAGCAGTTTTAAACAGTATGAGAGTTTCTTAAGGAGTACCAGATTAAAACAAGATCTCTCCAATGTTACAATTTAAATGCTGTTGGGTACTGATTGTGATTCTGTGTGATTTTACATAAGTTTATAAAACCCTTTTTTGTGTTCCAGTGTCCCTTGATAAAATTTGATTTCCACAATATGGTGGGAGAAAGAAAGGAAATATTTGAAATGAAATAATTTGTTCTTGTTGTCTTCTTAGTACAGTCATTTAGCTATACTTCGTTGCTGCAAAGCTCTTTGGTGTTAAATTTACAATAAGG